GGGGGGGGGGGGGTGGCAGCAGCAGCAGGAAGTGACGCCACACAAACACAGCTATTCATCGCTCGCTGCCCGGTTCTTGTGTTAAAAATATCCGCTTAATAATAAAAAAAACTGCGTTAACGCGCGATAAAATAATTGTCGGTGTGAATTAATTAATGTGTTAACGCGATAATCATTAACGCAGTTCTTTTTTTTAAATGCAATACACACCGTTGATGCCAGCAAATCACCCAAACAAACAGTGGATGGAGGCTTCAGCAGACCACGTTGATGCAGCGTGTGGGGGAAGTATAGATACACTAAAGCAAGACAAGCTAACAAATGCTACAGCGAAGTGGATACAAACTGCAGCCGATTAGTATTGTGGAAGATGTCGGTCTGAGGAACGTTCTCAAGGTGCGTTCGCGTCGCGTTTGTTGTGAACGCACCTTTAGGATCGCAACGAATGACGTCACGTATGAGCCTCAAGACACACCATCACAAGAAGAATACACAAGTTGTATGAAAAGGAGAGGAATACTAAAGCGGCGGCGTTACAACGTGCACCAGCTGTTGCTCTCACTGGAGACTACTGGACATCGCTGGGTCACCATCATCACCTCGGAGTTACAGCATTATATTGATGAACAGTAGAGCTGCATTCACATGCTCTGACCGTCATGAAGACAAGACACACATTTAGATGAAACATGCTGAAACATTTTATTCCTGTTGCACAGCAGTGGAACATTTCACATACAGTCAGCACACTGAGCACAGAGAGTGCAAGAAATAGAACTGCTACTGTGTAAAGGGAATACTGCTGTTAAAAAGCACCTTATTGGTTTAAAGTGTTTGCAAACCAAATGTTATTGCACTTTTGTTCATATAGCAGTACTTTTAAAATAAAAGTGCGCAATACACTACTTTTGAATTAATTATTGAACTTTGCACATAATGCGTTTAATCGCAATAAAATACACATAAAAGTGGTAAAAAATGGCACTTAATGAAAGGGTTAACATTCTGAAAAATGAATGAATGTTTGGTAGTTATGATCAGGACTGAAGATAATATTAATATGTAATTTCATGGCAGTTTTTGGACTTTTTGTCCTTGAATGACATCAGAGCAACATTTATAGAGTGAGGCTAACGGGTTAAGAGTGAAACAATGTTAGCTGCGTCCTAAGATTGATCCATTTAATCATTATTAAAATCATTTCATGAAAAACATGTAAATGGAACTAGAAAATGCATTTCCTGCTGAAAATGCGTTGGAATGCTGAAAGCTGAAATGAATTGTAAAAAAATTGCTGAAAATTAAGAAATGGGAGACTACCCGTCAGGAAAATGTTGAAGCCCGAAAGCATTTAAACTGCACTGCTGAAAACCCTTCTAGTTGAAATGTCTAACTATGGTGTCTGTAGCTGAAAGTATGAGGAAGAAGAAGGCTTTGAAAGTTGAAGTATAACAGGATTTGAAGATTTTCTCCATAGATATCCCATTCAACAGAAAATTGAAAAAAGCTTAATTCAAAAAGTTTAAAGATTACAAATATGAAAGGTCAAAGCACCCCTCTCCTGAAAGAGCTGAACATTTTGATATTTGAACAGTTTCTGTAGCTTAAAAAAATGTCAGCAGTAGTGATATTTGTAGTAATAGCAGTAGAAGTTGTAGTTGTAGTAGAAGTATTATTAGTAGTAGAAGTATTAGTATTTAGAAGAAGTAGTAGTATCAGTAGTAGTAGTAGTAATAGCTGTAGTAGTGGTCGTAGTATTTAATATATCAGTAGTAGTAGTAGTAAAAGTAATTTCAGTATTTGAAGTAGCAGTAATAGTAGTAGTAGTAGTAGCAGTCGTACTAATAGCTGTAGTATTAGTACTGGTTGTAGCATGAATAGCAGTAGTAGCAGTTGTAGTGGTAGTAATAGCAGTAGTGGCAGTAATAATATTGATGGTAGCAGTAATAGCACTAGTAATAGTAGCAACAGCAAAAGTTGTAGTAGAAGTAGTAGCAGCAGTAGTAGTAGTAATACTAGAAATATTAGCAGCAGTAGTAGCAGTATTAGTAACAGCATTCATTATTTCAACAAAAAAGTCACATTTTGAGCTTAATGTTTACATACAGTTAATCCATGGGGCTTTTATTTTGAAAGGGTGGGGCTGGGTGGGGGGAGAGGAGACATAATCATAATGTTTGACACAAACAGAGGTTATTAAATGACAGGCTTCATCACAAGCATTTCAGTTATATTTCACTCTGTGGGGCTTTTATTTTGAAATGGGGTGTGGGGGGGGAGAAGAGATGGACTCATAATGTTAGATAAACACAAACAGGTTATTAAATGTCAGGCTTCATCACAAGCATTTCAGTTAGAATTCATTCTGTGGGGCTTTTATTTTAAAATGGGGTGTGTGTGTGTGGGGGGATCCTCTAACGATCTCTAAGAACCTGAATGACTGTATGAGAGAGAGAGAGAGAGAGAGAGAGAGAGAGAGAGAGAGAGAGAGAG